GAGTGATTGCACCGAGAATTTCTTCGTTTCGACACATTTCTCTTTTTTAACATTAGGAAATGATGGTAGTTCACATCTTCTAGTATTCTCTTGGCTGTGTGGTGCAAACAACGTTTATTGCTAATCGTTTTCAATTCAGCGAATAATGCGTATTAATTGTAACACAACTGTTTCGCCATTTATTAGTTCAGCGACACGGTGAAAGTGAAAATTAAAAAAAGAAAAAAAAAAGAAAAAGAAAGAAAGAAAGAAAAAATAATTATGTAGAAAATTCCAATTGAAATAATGTTGAATGCTCGGCATTATTTTGTCGAATAAGTAATCGTTTATCGATCGATTTTTCGTAGATCGAAACGGATCGCTTGAGATCATTAGACTAAATTTAGTTATAAATTCTCGATTAGAACAAAAAATATGTTTCTTTGGAAACAATCGCTTCCGTTTCTTTCTTCGGAAGAGAAGAATAAAAAAAAAAAGAAAAAAAAATACACGAATTTGATCGGTATAAAAGATTAAGAAGTTTTTTTAAAAAGACGAATAGAAAATAACCGAAAAAATACCGTGTCTGCGATGTAAATAAATTTATTCTTAAGGAATTAAACAGAAGCGACGATTCGTGAAGAGTGTATACTTATTATTATTATTGTCATCATCGTTTGTCATGCATTTGTATTTCATATGCATGCCACGAAGCCTGCGTATTGTGGATACACGCTCGATCTGGAAGTCTTTGGTCGTGAGAAAATTTCTTTATTCAAAAATATAATTATACAATTATATTTAAAGAAATAATAAGGAAAAAGAATAAATGAATAACTATGAATTTTGAAAAGTTAATTTCAAAATAGAATAGATGTTAATATTGTACGGTTTTCTTTAAGTCAGTAGTTCACTCTGTAATTAATGAGTGGTTTATACATTTTTTTAATTATGAGTGCAATTGTTATTTCATAATGAACATTCATCTTGAATATATATTTATATATATTCTTTCTTTCTTCTTTTCTAAGAAAAATTTTTTAAAAAATATGAAAAATCTTTGTGTTCTCTCTCATGACTGATGATTTTCAAGATCCGAGTTAAGCTTGCCTAGTTTTAGGCGGCGTTAAAATGTTATCCTTAATAAAGAGAGAAGCAAAAGAATGACTAAAAGAATTATCTATATGTCTTTATTATTTTACCTTTTTACTTTTATCTTTTACTATAATCTTTATTAGCATTAAGTTATCGAAATTTTCTTTTTTTTGTACTTTTCAATATAAAAATTAATGAAGGAAAGTATTATAAAAATTGATTTTTTGTCTTTTTTCCTTTAAATAAATTTTTCCTTTCAGTAGCAATTCAAAAGTAATTAATATATTTTGATATTAGAAACGGAAAATGTTACAATATTTTAATTTATTGAATTTTTATTGCAAGTAAGATATGTAAATTAATCAATAACAAATGATAATTTAATAAAATTTATCTCTAAAAAAAGAATTTTTTACTTTTATGATTATAAATCGGAAAAAATAGTTATGTTATGATATTTAAATATTAATTTAAAAAAAAGAAAAGAATAGGTTAATGCTTATTCGAAATTCAAAAGTACGCATGCGTGTTCTTCTAAGATTAAATAGATATTATTGCAGATGTATATATCAGCGGTGTAATAGCATCTTGTCATAGATTTTAACTGTGTGCTATCTGTTTATGATTAAAAATAGTACGTATAATTAAATATTGCATTAAGCTATTATTTAAAAGATATAAAACAACATATCTATAAATTTTAACAAAGGGATTTCAACTTTAATTTCGACAAACGTATTTCAATTTTGAGTGTTTGACATTTCTTAAAAAGAAGCAGGTATTTTTACTTATTTTTTAAGTTTTTAGGAATATACAGAATGTTCACACTATTAATTTCTAATATTTTTCTTGCAAGTGCTAGTTTTTAGAAAAAAGTAATGGAAAAGACAAAAATTTTTCTGTTTTTTATATGTAAAACGATGATCAAATTTTTAAAACTTATAATAATGGTCATGAAGCAATAATGTATTTCTTTTTTTCTACTAAATGAATTCGATAATCTATAATATGATAGATTTATTTAATTAATATGAAAATAAATGGAAGAAAGCGATAATATTGGACATTCTGTGATTCTTTGATTGATGAATTTTTATAAATGAAATTTTTAATGTTTCGCGAATTTTCGATTCTAATCATTGATCTCGATCTATCAAAAAAAAAGATGATATAATGATTTTTATAAAGTTAATCCGCATTGATAAAAAATGTAAAAAAAAGTTATTTCGTGAATTTTTGTTACTGGCTATCTTTATTTCATTAATTATTTTTATAATTATATGGTAATGATCATTATTTTCTTTCAAAATTTTTTACAATATTAATTGATTTATTCAATAATTTCAATTATTTTAATTAATTAAATAATTTTCTAATTTCGATTAATGATTTAAAAATAGTCCAATAATTTATAATCTAAAATTTATAAATTTACTTCTTTAAATAAATATATTAATATAAATTATTAATATAATTTATTCAATTTATATATTTTTTTCAGGAATGAGTCATATTAGAAGTTTACGTTGTACTATGTCTTGCTTAAACATTTATAATTTGAAACCTTTTGAAAGGCATATATTAATTAAAAATGGATATAGAGATGTTCATCATTCGTAAGTAATATGCTATTATATAAAAAAATATATATATAAATATATATATAAAAATTTGTATGTAAAAAATTTCACATCTATATGAGAATTAATGTTAATGAAAAATATCTTAGGTGTAAACTATTAGTAGTTGGAGGTGGTACTGGAGGTTGCAGCATGGCTGCAAAATTTGTTAATAAATTTAAAGGCCAAAATCAAGTTATTATAATAGAACCAAATGAGGTATTTAATTAATATTTTTTAGTTTTTTAGTTATTGTATATTTTCTTATGTATATTTGTATTAAATAGAATAATGTTTTTTTTAGATACATTATTATCAACCAATGTTTACTTTGATTGGTGGTGGCATAAGATCTTTTGAAGATTCAAAAAAACCAATGAAAGATACTTTACCAAAAAATGCAAAATGGTTTCAAGAAAATGTAATGAGTTTTGAACCTACACAAAATCAAGTGACTATGAGCAATGGAGACACTGTACAATATGAAATCATGATTGTTGCAATGGGTTTACAATTACATTGGGAAAAAGTGAGATTGGACAAATTATTTTATATTAAAACGAATAGAAATGCATTTTTTATTTTATATATATGTATAGATACCAGGTTTAGTAGAAAGTCTTAAAGATAATATGTCAGGAGTTTGTTCAATTTATGGACCTGATACTGTTACAAATGTGTTTCCAAAAATTACAAAAATTAAGGATGGTACTGCAATATTTACCTTTCCAAATAGTCCTGTTAAGTGTCCTGGAGCACCTCAAAAAATTGCATATATTGCAGAAGAGTATTTTCGAAATGTAAATATAATTATGTTTAGATTATGTTAATTACTTTAAATTTCTTAGTGGATATATATTATATTGTATGTATACTATATTCATATTTATTTTTTAAAGCAAAAAGTACGTGATAATGTAAAAGTTGTATATAACACTGCTTTACCAGTTATATTTGGAGTTAAAAAATATGCTGATGCACTTTGGGATGTTTGCAAAAAAAGAATATTATTGTGAATGTTCAAACAAACCTTGTAAAAATAAATCCTATAACTGAAGAAGCTGTATTTCAAAAATTAGATGGATCAAATGAAACATTTGTTGAAAAGGTATTTTTATTATTTGCAA